TATCTAGAATGTTCCAAGCTGAAGTGCTGTACGTGGAGCCTGTGCCTGCTCTCAGTTCAGCACAGCTGGCGCTGAAGCTGAGGCTGAAACAGCCCGTGGCAGACAGTGGCAAGTTTCAGTTCCAAGTCAGGTCCGGGCAGCGAGGATCAGTGAATTCAGGCTAAAGGCATTTATTTGACAACAGAAAAGACAAAGGCTGGAAGGCCAAATGGCTGTGTGCCAAGTCCTTGTGATAAGCACAGATTTTCTTAGCTCGTTGTGTCTTATCGTTCTTAGAGTCAAGTTGACCCACTCAAAAATATGTGCAGAAAGTCAGAAAATAATCACCCTGTAAGGGACAGATTTCATAAGATCTCAGATGATTTACAAGAGGCCATTGGCAACTGAAAGCTGTTCTTTTATTTTTTTTAATTCCTAAAGAATGTTCTCATCTGCCAATTGACTCACTTTTCATGTCAAATGCCTTGTTTTTTTTTTGTTTATTTGTAAGTATGTATGCTTGCCAGAGAGAGACAGAGATAGACACAGAGAGAAAAAGTGAGAAAGCACCCTTCCCAGGGGGGTGGGGGGTGGGATGGCCACACTGCAGTCCCATCTCCTCCATTCTCCGCTCAAGATTTTGGGCATGCATGCACACACACCTGACATGTTTTCAAGCCACCAGGTCTGGGACTTGAACTGCAGATTCAGTCATATGGGATCCAGCTGCCTTAACTTTCATGCCACCTACTGGCCCTATGACAATTGCCTTTTACCAGAAGCTCCATAAAGGTAAAAATCACCCTGGAGACTTATTGTTTTTAATACTAAAGAGTTTAAACTCTAATTTACTTATCACTGGCAAAAAGCAAGGAAGTTGTGGCCCTCTAATACAGTTGTGTGTGTGTGTGTGTGTGTGTGTGTGTGCGCGCGCGCGCACATGCACACACATGTGTGCCCGTGCAGCCTTCCCTGATTGGGATGATCACCACAGCATTTATGAATTTATGCAAAGCCTAAAACACTTTGATCGGGTTCTACCACACATCCAGATGCAGCAGCCACAAAATACAGAGCCATGTAACTACAAAAACACTTTTTTCTCCTTGTGAATTTAGACAAAGTGCTAGTAGTAAGTTCGGCATTTACATTATCATTACAGCTGCCAGAAGAGCTTGGCCGAGATGCAACAGGTGCGGGGTGTGGGGTTTAGGGGGTTGTGCATATGAAGAAATTGCTACACTGTCACACATCCCACCGCCACCACCACCACCACCACTTTTTTTCTCTCTCTGGTTTATCCTAATGTTTTGCTCCTGGAATATTTTCCTCCCACTTGGAAGGAAAAGGAACACTTTTTAAATCTGTGTGTGTGTGTGTGTGTGTGTGTGTGTGTGTGCGCGCTGGAGGGTATGTATGGTAGCCAGAGGGAGACAGAGAGAAAGAGAAGGCAAGAAAGCATCCCCCCATGGGGGATGGTCATGCCTCAATCCCTTCTGCATTTCTCACTTCTGGATTATGGGCATGTATGTACACATGCTCGGTGTGTTTTTCAAGCTGCCAGATCCAGGACTTGAACCACACAGTCAGCCTCGTGGGATCCAGCTGCCTTGACCACCATGCCACTGCCGCCCCCACAGCACATACAGCTGATCCAGAGCTCACCTTTGGGAATGATTGGGCCCTTTTTCCTCCCACTTAGATGAGATAACAAAACCAAAGGCATCGAGCAGCCTGGGCTTTGTTTCCCCTCGCTTTAGCCAGCACTGCCCAAAGCAGCCAGGGATTCAGCCAGCCAATCCCTGTGGCATGGGAGCTATCACTTTTGAAGTCCATGGGTGACTTTTTACCTCTCGCAGCGGACAGCAGCTCGGCTGCTGTTCCCACCCCCATGTCTGCATGGCCATCCTGCACCATCTCCTCCTGCCCCTCATCTTTGTCCCACACAGCACTTTCAGGGTCCTTCGGGTGAAGCCCACTTCCAGAGCTCTGTGTACGGGTCTCCCCCGACCACCCCAAGCTCCATGGTTCACTGGGAGGCCTCATCATAAGTCATCCTACAGCAATGCCTCATTACAGAGAAGACGCAAGGCAAAATCAGGCAGGGGAAAAGGTGCTTGGGGCCAGAGCAGGAGAAAAGCAGGTGCAGCCCTCCAGGAGTCTTCTCCAAGGGGACTCACGTAGGAACACGCTTAGTTCCTCCAGCAGCAGATTGTGACAACGTGTGTGAAGTGTTGTTTACCAAAGAAGCTCTCCAGAGCCTGGGGGTTCCAGGTTTGAATTGGGGTCCATTGCCTAAGCACCCACTGCCTAACACATACCAAAATTCCAGACTGCCAGAAGGAACGTAGGTGTTCAACATAAACACATTATTGGCACAAACAGGTGAGCACAAAACCAGTCATTGGTTAGAGAATGGTGGGAGCCCTTCATTCCCAAATGCCAATTAAGAGTCAAACTTGTGGGACCAGCAGTTAGTAATGGCTAGGTCGCTGGACTCCCATGTAGTAGACCACAGTTCGAGTCTCAGACCTGCTGGGGGCGGGAGCGTGTGTGCCCAAGATCCCAAGCGGAGAATGGAGGAGAAGGGATTGCGGTGTGGCCATCCCCTCTGGGGGGTGACTTCTCGCTTTCTGTCTTTCTGTCTTTCTGTCTCTCTCTGTCTTTCTGGCAAGCGCACGTGCCCTATAGTAAAAACCTCTCCAAAAAAAAAAGAGTCAAACTTGTGAGCAGGTCTTCCTAAGAACAGGCAGTCTCAGGCCCCCTGCACTAAGTCTTCCCTCTGTAGACTCTTGAAAAGAAGAAAAAGAATGGGAATATGGAGAGGATTAAAGGCTGAACTAATACGAGAATCTAGTAAGGCAGAAAAGGAAAAAAGAAAATGTTAAGTTTGAAGATAGAAAAATGGTAGAGAAAACAGTGTCATGGAACATCATCAGTACAAATGAACACATGAAGTCATAAAACGTTCTTAACGTGAATTTCGATGAGATCGCGAAAGGCCCAGACTCTGGATGAAGGACCATCCCACTGACTTCTTCAGCAAATCCTGTATTTCACTTTTTGAAGTAGCAGACTGTTCATTCAAATGGACACTTTCTTAGACACTTTCAAGTCAAGTTTGTTTTTTTTTTTAGATTTTTGCTATAGGACATGTGTGCTCACCAGAGAGACAGACAGACTGAAAGTGAGAAATCACCCCCTCACGCCGGGGTGGGAGAGAATGGCCAAGCTACAATCTCTTCTCCATTCTCCTTTAAAATTTTTGAGCACACATATACAAGCGCCCAGCATGAGTTTCAAGCCACCAGGTCTGGGACTCAAACCGTGGCTGACCACGTGGGAGTCCAGCATCCCAACCACTATGCCACCTGTTGGCCTCTACAGTCTGAAATCAAGACACAAAAATAGAGCTACAGTGGGTGAAATGCAGATGGAGTTATCATCTTGCTCCCTTACACGTGTCTCTTCTGTGAGCAAGAGAGAAACAGCATCTCCCCACAAGGTCCTGATGCCTCAGCCAGCCCCACACCATGGGCATGCACATGTCTGGCCTAGCTGGGGAGAGGAGGTCTCCAGTTGCAAACCTGGAACCTTCCCATGTGGATCTGCCTCGCAGAGGGTTACATTTTACTGCTGTCCCACTATCTGGCCCCCTGTTCTTGAATGTCTTATGAATGAAATCCTGTGGCATATTCTCTTTTTGTTCAGTATGATACATGGGAGATCCAACCAGGATATTGTGTAAGTTTGTCCATTCTCATTGTTGAGTGGCGTTCTAGCTGTGTGAATAAACAGTAGTGTTGGTCTATTCTGCAGTTGGTAAAAATGTGAGTTGTTTCTGGCCTTTGGAGATCATGGAGAATATTGCTCTGAACATTCTTATACCTGTCTTTAAGTGAACGTAGTGGTGTGGTTCTGTTGGGCATACACCTGGGAGTGGACTAACTGAGTCAGAAAGATAGACCTATGTTCATTTTACCAGATGCTGCTTTTCCAAACATTTTTCCAAAGTAATTATTCTTTTCACACACCCGTGAGCAATGTATGAGAGTTTCAGTTGCCCCATCTCCTTGTTAACATTTGCTATTATCCTTTTCATTTTAGCCATTCTGGTGGATAAGTGTGGTATTACATTGTGGTTTTAGTTTTCATTTCCTGGTGACTAATGATCTTGAGTGCCTTTTTATATGCTTACTTGTCATTTGGATATCCTCTTTTATGAAGGGATTGTTCAAGTCTTTTTTTCCATTTTTCTGTTGGAAACATCTGCCCTTTTGATCTGCTTTTGAAATAGTAACTTTCCCAACATGATAATGTAGCAGTGATTTGGTCTTTGCTTTGCTTGTCTTTTTTTTTTTTTTTAAGATTTATTTATTTATTTGTTTAGTTCCATTTGTTATTCTTATTTTTTTAATTTGACCAGAGAGAGAGAGAGAAAGCCAGAAAACAAGCTGCCAGGTCCAGGACTTGAACTGCAGTCAGCCATGTGGGAATCCAACACTTTTAACCACCATGCCACTTGCTGGCCTCGTCTATTTATTTGTTTGTTTGTTTGTTTTTCTTTTTCATTCACGTTAGAGCACATGTGTGTGCGTTTGAGAGTGAGAAAGAGAGAAATGATTCCCTTCATCCAGTGCTTCAGCCTATCAGCTCTTGAGCTCCCATGTGGGTGCCTAGCATGTCTCAGGCCTACCAGACTGGGGACTCAAACCATGGTCACCACATGCAATCCAGCTTCTTTTTATTTTTGTTTTTAATGATTAGAGGGCACATGTACTCACTAGAGAGAGAAAGCACTCCTGAATGGAGTGCTTCTCCGCCATTTCTCCTTCCTTTCAGGATTTAGGGCATGTAGGTGCATGCACCTGGTATGTTTTTCAAGTAGTGAGGGCCAGGATTTGAACAGTAGTCAGCTACATGGGATCTGACTCCCTAAGCACAGTCTATGCTGTGGGGCCAGCCCTGCAGTAGTGATCTGTGTACCAAACTGTTTCAGGTGCAATGCCACAATTTTGATTTTTTGAGTGGAATGCTTTACAAATTTGCATGTCATCCTTATGCAGGGGCCATGATAATCGTCTCCGTGTCATTCCAATTTTTTAAAAATACATGTTCCTGAGGTGAGCAGTACATCTTTCTCTCTTTTTTATTTCAGAAAAGTGTGTTAGAACTTTGTAAGATGATCCTAGAAGGAACTTCAGAGAGTTGTAAACACCCTAGATATAAATTCTACTTAAGATACTTTGCAGTGCACGTGCTGCGTTTCCAGCCTTGTATTGGGTTCCTGCCTCTAATGAAGACAAAAAATAGGGAAGGAGGAACCAGGCACACAACTGAGTTAGATCGCATAAACCAAGAGGGAGACACTGAAGCCCAGAGAGGTAAGATTCCACAGCCATAGCAGAACCTTTTACTAAAGCATACAAAACAGCAGCAGAGACTAGGAACCCAGACTACCAGAACCCAGAGAGTTTTCCCAAGTCAGGCTAACCCAGCCTTACTCAGCAGAGACCAGAAAGTCTGCTCTCAAATTCGATGCTTCCTTCAGGGTCTAAATCAGATGTGGTATCTTGTGAAAACTTGCTGATCTTTCCAGCCAGAATCAATCTTTTCTCATTGTCTGTGTCCTGGTTTGGATTGTAGCATTTACCCAATTCTCTCTTGGACTGTCTGTACACTTCTTGTCTCTGTGCTACATGGCAAATTCCTGGAAAGGCAGACTTAACTTGTTTTTGTTGAGTATGGTGGGACTAAAGCTTACCTAAATTAGTCGCGTGCTATGAGTTCAAACTGAATCACTTTACCTCCAAGGGGACAGGACTTCAGGCATTGGGTGTTCCGTGAAGTGATTCATAGTCGTAGTCATATTGATGTACTAGGTGTCTTTGTTTTGGACTAATGGCTCTTGCACTTATTTTTAAAGAATTATTCTATTTAACTTTATTTATTATTATCATTATTTTCCAGTTTGATCAAACACACACACACACACACACACACACACACACAGAGAGAGAGAGAGAGAGAAAGCCAGTAGGTCCAAAACTTGAACCGTGGTAAGCCATGTGGGAGTCCAGTGCTTTTAACCACCTTGCCACCTGCTGGCTCCAGCTTCCGCACTTTTAAGAATGGGATTATAAGCCCCAAGAGTCCTTGTAGATGGAGAAAGAGACCTTAGAATGGACATTCCACAGGTGTGGGAGCAGCTCTGCAGTTCCTGCCATGCCTGGAGTTGGTAGGTAACCTTGTCCCTGCCTCTGTATCACTTTGTGGTTTAGCATAGACACAAGACCAGCCTCGGGGGCACCACTGTAAATGGTAAATCCCAGAACTCTTGAATTGAGCTAAGAGGGATGAATGAAGATCCACTGGAGAGTGGGTATGCCATGGTCTAGGGAGGTCGAGGTCTTCTTTTGCCTCCTTTTTCTTTCCTGTGTCTTGCCCAAGGGCTCCAGTTCACAGCTGACAGCCACAGCAGCACGACAGTAACTGCAAAGGGTGTGTGCATGCGTCTGTCTTCAGCTTTCCTTGCAGTCTGTCCTGCCCTGCCCTCTGCTCCTGGCATACAGGGTGACTGCATAGCAGTGAAGCACAGGGTGTGGGGGGAAATGTGTCCTGTCATCACGCAGGAAGGGCTGAGACTTGGAACAAAGAGACACCTGGAGTCCCCAAGGCTGCCATGTGTTAAGAGCCAGGAGTTGTACATTATATACCCATTAAGGGAGCAGTCCTGACCTCAGAAGGAATTTCTTTGGACTTTAGAGTAAAGGTGGAATAAAATCTTTCTGGAGCTTGGGCTTCTACAGTGGTTAGTATAGATTTGAGCCTTCGCAGCTTATTAAAAGGCAATGTAAAGAATTCTGCACCCAGTCCCCTGGCACAGAAAGCTATGCTGTATCTCAAAAGGTAGCCTGGGTCAGTAGGAGAAGCACTAACCTGCATAAGATGTCCTGGGTTCAAGTCCTGGTCCTGCCATATCACACCCTGTCTCTGGGCCTTCGTTTCCCGGTCTGAGAATGAGGGAGTTGAGTCAAATGACCTCTAACCACCATGTTAGTATCAATAGCTAAGAGTCTTCAAGGACTATGCTTAAATGTGTAGGGCTAGAGACTAGAGGCACTCTGGAAGCCATTAAGTTCACTTTCTCAATGATGAGCTATGCTCTAAAGTGGTCCAGTCATGTCCTGTGTAAGTTGGGGCAGGCACAGGCCCCACGACACATTGATCACATCAGAGTTTCCGGAGTGCACCACAGAGGAGTGATTTCGGAGTGGAGGAAGGATTGAGATCCACTGCCTCAGAGGATGCTGGGAGATCACTGGGGTGTGTGTTATCCATGGGAAGCCAGCAGGAAGAACTGGTGGCCTCCTCCCCAGAAGAGGAGTCAGCCCAGCAAGAGTCAGGCATTCCAGAGCAGGGAGGGAAGGAAACACTTGGCTGAGAGCTAATCCTAACTTGGTCCCTAAAATGTGTCCCTGGTGTCAACAGGAAATGAAGCGAGAGTCCAGGACAGCTCCTCTCCTCAGTCCCTTCAGAGCAGCTTCTCATCTCTCGGCTCCTCAGATCCTCAGCGTGGGCACCAGGGTGCTCACAGGCCAGGGGCGCAAGTCCTGTGAGAGCAGATGGCAGAAAATGTTCTGGGTTTTTCCAAGCAAGGCAGGATTATGCCAAGACGGGGAAGACTTTGTGAAAGCAGAAGTGCTTTATGAAATACAAGCTCTTCAGAATGCCTTAAATGTCCTCCATGTCTGTCAGCAAACAGGTACGGGATGGCCACCCTCCATCAGGCACCACACCCTGATGGAAACAGGAGAGATGCAGACTTTTCCATTTAGCCTCTAGATCAGAGACCACAGACAAGCAAGCATGCAATCACACTGTAATGGGAGAACCTCTGGGAGAATGGAGGAGGGCCATCAGTGTTCAGGCCAGGCAGTCCGGGAAGGCTTCCTGGGGGCAGTCTGGGAAGGCTTCCTGGGGGAGATGGCACTTGAACTGAGTTACGGAAGGACAAGTTTGAGCTCTCTAAGTATTATAGAAAGATGTGTGTGGATGTGTAAGGAGGGAGGTAGTAATGCCATTACAGTGTTTTAGATGGTCCAAACCTTTTTTTTTTAGTTTATTTTTTCCATGAGTGAGAGAGAGAAAAGAAGAGAGAGAGAGAACCCCCTTCCCTCAACAGGGTCTTGATGCTGTAATTCACCCCCAACCTCAGCCGGCCTCTGATCATGGGTATAAGCTTGCTTAGTGTAGTTAGGGAGGTCTCTACCTGTGAATCTGGACCCTTCCCCTCACTGACTGTCACGTTTTACTGTTGCATCATTGTTCAGCCCTCCCAGCCTTTAGAGAGTCATGGGTTGATATTTTCCTTTGAACGTCTTTGACGTTCAAGAAATTAAGAGGAAAAAAAAAAAAAAAAAGCCCCATCCTTATGATGGGAGAATCAAAGGCCCTCATTTGATGCACGCAGCGGTTGTTGGAAGAATTTTCTCTATCCATTGCATCCCTCAGTCTCTAGTAACTTAGGAAATACTGGACAGAGTATTTTCCGCATTTTATGGAAGAGGAAGTAGAGGCTTAAAAGAGACTGACTTCTCTGTGGACACCCACGTACTTAATAGCCAAACAAGGACTCAGCATCTTAACTATCTGGATTATGGTGAGGGATAGATTAATTAATAGTCTTTAAAAAGTAGGGCTTTCTTTTACCACCCTTGTCTGCTGCATACAGACTTAAGGGAGGGATTATTATCATTATTATGAACCCCTCCCACTCCGTTTAATCCCATTTGATTGGCTAACGTAACCCAGAAATATTAACGACAATAAGATTGTTTTAGCTATGGATAATTATAATCATACCATCTTAGTAAGCTTCGCCTAATGACCATCTGACTCTAACTCAGAAGATGTCACAGCAAACCTACTGATGTCCAGGGCTTTCACAGTTAGACTTTTTCAGTTAGATTTAAAGTAGTGGCCCAGAAATACAGATAGCAAATTTTGCTAGAGCTCCCTAAACTCTCCAGGCAGTACTAGTAGGTTCTTATGAATGCAGTAGCACCCAGGTATAAAGGTATGGGTGTTTAAGATAATTTATTCCCAATGAATTGGAGTCAAATGTGGAAGCTTTTGAAGAATATATTCTAACTCAGAATACTGTTTTGTGAGTTGGCCTTTACAAAAATGTAATAGTTCCTGGGGCCAGCAGGTGGTGTGGTAGGTAAGGTGCTGGACTCACACATGGCCAAACATGATTCGAGTCCAGGACATGGAGGCTTGCTTTCTCACTTTCCCTTTCTCTCTCTCTAGTCAAATATTTTTTTAAATAATAAATAAAATAAAATCATTCTTTTTAGAAAATGTACTAGTTCTCAAATGCCTGGTGCCTAAAGGAGCGGTCACTCTAGTACAAGGAGAATTATGACTGCGCCTTTTAGATAAAGAAAACCGCCAGTGGCGTTCTGGAGTCACTAGGATTTCCTAAGGGCCTATATTGTTTTCTTTCCCTTTGCAGACCTTGTCTTTCATTTCCAAACCAACCTTGTAAATTTGGTTCTTATCAAGTGACAACGAAGTTCCCTGAACCTGAGTCAATGCACAATGTCTCGGCCCATGTCCTCTTTGGCGGATCTTGTGCCAAATAGCCCATGCCATCTCAGGGACTGGGTAGGCCTGGGAACATCAAGGTTAAAAACCCTTGCCCTGACTTTTGGCTGGAACTGCCATCTTCCAGTAATTAACCAAAATGACGAACACAAA